GTTATTGCACAATAATTCAAGGTAATAACCTTATTGTATCTTATTTATCTTATTTGCAATTACAAATGCTTAAGTAGGACTTCCTGACTCAAAAATAGTAAGTTAAGAAACAGGCACTAGTCTAAAGGTTAGATTTTTCAGAATATTTTTTTTCAGAATACTTCTGAAATAGTTTAGTTGTTAGTTCAGCATTACCTTTAGATGAGGACGACAGCTATCTTTACACTACTACTGACTGCAAGACACTGATTGTTCACGGCCTAAACCAGGGGTTGGCAACATGTGGCTCCACAGCAGAATTAGATTTGTAGGTAAACATAAAATAATCCTGTAGGTTGGCACACAGACTGCTGGTCACCATAGCAATGCAGATAAGGATCTGGCCTAGCTAGGAGCTAACGAAAAGGCAAAGAGAAAGATTTAAGACAAACATCGAAAATTTGGAGACAAATGGACTTATTTGCATTTGTAAGCACTCCAGCTGGTTTCCTTACATGTTTAATCTGCAACGAGAAACTGTCCAGCACTAAAAAGTTGCGAAGCTGAAGTTAGCTTCTCTTTGGCTAGCATCTTGTTGGAATTTTCCCATTCCACCTTAAATAGTGCAGCAGTTACATTCTGGCACCTCAGGCACCATTTAAGGTGGAACAGGAAAATTTGAACAAGAAGTTGAGAAATGAGAAGCGACTTAATAAAAAAAGTTTCTTGCCAGAGATGCGGGAAAAGCGGCAATAGCGGAGGAAAAACTTAAAGTGAAGTAAGTCTGCATTTTCGCTTATATTTTTTATACTGTACTGGTACATTAGCACATACTGAGTCATATTTACAGCCAAGATGGTAAAATGGACATAAAATGTTGTGGCTCCCAAGGTGGTTTGATTTTTTAACAAAATGCTCTTCTTAACATTTGGGTTGCCGACCCCTGGCCTAAACAATCACTGTTGGCTACTGTTTACAGTAAGAAAGACTATATAATAGAATTAGTCTACCTTTAAAGGAGAATTCCACTGATTTTTCAGAGTTAAGATGTTTTTCTGTATACTTAAAAAGACCTGATGCCCGAAATGTTTAATGCCTCTAAAAGGGTCTAAAAAGAGTGTTAGCACATGAAACAGTTGAGATGCTTGATCCCTGAGATATCGTTTTTTTATGTCTTAAGGAGAGTCTTGAGATAAGGTTTTAGCATAAAATGTATTTTAAGCCATTCATATTTCAGTTTTACTATTCACTATTTTACTATTACAATAATCTGGTTAAACTCATGTTCATGCAGTTAATTACATACCAAATGGAGAGCAAAGGATATGTTTGCTCCCCCCAGTAAAAATGTTGGTGTCCAGGTGCTCCACTTGCTCCATTGGTCCAGGTGCGTGTACCTCTGGCAGCTCACTGGATCACTGGCAGTGTGGAGAAGTGCTCAGATACTCACTGTAAATCTTTATAGGGATATAAAGTACAGCAGATCACATGTGCAAGCGTTGTGTGTGCGTGACTGACCTTTGAGGAGGTGGTTGTCAGCGTTTCCACATGCATACACGCTCTGACACACACTGGTGACACAACAAAGGCCCTGTGCTTCCTCGAGGGTCCCAGCACCGCACTCACTCTGTGGAGACTGAGCAGCGGGTGTGAATCTGTTCATTAGTGAGAAGAGAAGAGAGGAGGGAGGAGAAAAGGAGAGCAGGACAGATAAAGGAAATCTGTGTGGGATGAGGCAGCGCCCGCATTAAAGGGAATAAGAGGACTTGCTCTTTAAAGAATACTCACTGATGTTAATGATTTGACCCTGAGGCTCCACAGCCTCTAACATATAGAGACAAAGGAAGCTGCGTTGTTGTGTAATATGCCAGTCATTTGCCACTTGTAATCGGTGATTATGCTTTTTTTATGTTTACAGGCTAATTTGCTTAACATCTGTAAGCACAAACAAGAGCAGAGCATATGGTTTAACATATTCTCTACAGAGAAAATACTTCACCATGTTTACTGTTTATTTGCTGATTTTAACATGTGGGGATAAAAACTAAGTGTGCCCTGTGCAAAAGTTAGGGCATAATTATATTTTATGTTTTATTTGTTTCTGACATGTTAAACTCAGCAAATAAATAGAAATTGTGCATTAAAAGTTTGCTGTGTTTATGTGTATTTTCTGTGGAGGGTGTGTTAACTTATTTTCACTTAGAAAAACAACAAAACATGTCATTTACCCAGGAATGGTCAAACTTTTGCATACAACTGTACATACCACTGTTTTTAATTTCTGAAACCAATACTCAGAAGTGGGGTATTTGCTGATAGTAATACTAATGAGCTTTTTTTCATTAAAACAATATGAAGGTTTAAAGTGGGCTGTTTTTAATTGAAGCACCTCACTTAATGATACCATGTTCAGACTGCTCACACAAACATTCTGCTACTCAACATGGAAAAATATATAGCCAACAACTTTCACAAAAACACTGCACTTACAGTGCAAATGTGTACAGAACTAGTGAGCTTAAAGCTACAGTGTGTAATTTTTAGGGATTTGGAGCCCTCTCAGGTGGAAGCATGTAATTGAATCAGATGATTGCAAGCATATAGAAAGAATATTCGAAGAGAACTCAGTCCAAACTTCGTGAAGGATGTGTCTTTTGAGGATGTAAGTGTAGTATCCGCTATTATCTGTTGGCATCATATCTTTATCATATATTATATATAATGTTGATTTTGCATTTTAGAGCTAATCATCGTGCTGGATGTTCTTTTTGAGCCTCGGCTTGTAATATTATTATGTAAAGACAAATGACGTTCCAAGAAAACTGCCAAGAAATCTGTCCCGATGCCCCTGACTTTAAAATTATTACTTCAGGCTTTACAGGGCAAATCACAGCAGTGCACTCGCATATTTTTAGCAAGTCAGTAATGCTACTTTTTTCAGTTAGAAAAAAATCTTACAAAGCGCAGCTTCAGAGTAAATTAATAGTAATTCTGGCTCAATACTAAGGCTCCATAGTTATGTTGTGCTACAAGCAGTTCTGTAATAGTTCTGACAAGATTTGTTAAGAAATCAGTTCTGATTCATTCATTGTTTTCTCTGATATCTGGTCCAGTATTTTCTATTGGCCTGATACTGATTCTGGGTATCTGTGTCCAGTGACTGTAGGCTATTTCGTGTCATTCTGTCACTGTAGAACATCAAAAACACGCAGTACGTATTTCAGATTTTTTTGACTCAGAAATAATAAGTTAAAAACATGCATTTGAGATGTTAGTTTGAGTTCCTCTGGCTGGTGGTTTGCCGTAGTCAAGTCTTGTATGCCGTGTAGGTCAGTGTGCAATGTGTGTTTGTCACTATAGTGTCAAGGTACCTGAACAAAGGCAAACACAAAATAATTACTTCAGAGCTGGTTTTTACTCACTGAGAATAGAGGACTGTGTATCTCTTCTGATCTGGGCCCTGTGGGCTTCTCTTCCTTTTGTGTTGAATTAAGATGAAGATCATGCATTGTGCTGTCTAACCGTGACATTCCCTGACAAATTGGTGGCAAGACTGCAGGACAGCACTCGCTCTAGGGGCTCGACTGTGAATGCACACCCAATCGATAGTCCCTATCGCTTACTGACAGTGCAAATGCCAACCTCTCCTCTGAGGAAAGGTATGGGGTAGGGTGGGGTGTGGGATGAGGGTATTGAGGGAGGAAAATGAGTAAATGTCATCTGTTACACTTCCTAGATCTGTTTATTATTCAGTGTCATTTGTGTAGTGCTGTTTTTTTCTGGGTTTGGTGTTTTTTTTAGGCTCAGTTCTGTTTTGGTGGAGATTTGACATTCTAGGAGTGAAATCTTTGAGAACATCTTCGAGGAGAGAAGTTCTTCTACCACTACAAAGGAAACGTACAGCTCATTAAAGAAAAATGCCCTTTTCTTCTCTATAGATCGCAAAGGCTTTTCATCACTTGCAGAATTCATATGCGGCAGTTGAGGGCAGAGAGCTTCGGGATGTGCTGTTAGGATGTGTTGTCCTATTATTTTCCTGAAACAGGCACAGTTTCTTAAAGCAGTTAATGATTTTTCATAGCTAGTACCCCTTTTTCGAAGGCAGCCAGGGTTCCCAGAAGCCACTGTTGATATTTGCTGCTGTGCAGACGTGGGGTATATGATCACTGAGTGGAATGGTCTTTATAATGGGAACGTTAATGAGGATGCCCTTGCAGTGACTTCAGTAGCGACTGTGTCAATGTGAGCCACTTAAAAGTCCAGGAATGCACTAAAATATTCACCATTCAGCTTTAAAGAAGTATAAAGATGACGCATGCGCGGACGCACAAGGACACACAGAGACGGTATTCAGCTTCTGTACACCTTACACCGAATGGCCTTGAAGCTGTTTCAGTCAGCACAAAGAGAATGGCAGCTGCTGAAGTTTAGTGACTAAAATCAGCCAAAGGGAATGTGTCTATTGAAAAGAGACAAGCTGGATAGATTTGATTCAAAAACAGTGTCACGGTCAATGTTGCGGTAAATGCCAGGTCTGCCCAGAAACCACTCAGTTCCTCTCAAATGTTGAAAGGCTCTGTAATTGAAGTGTCACCCAATTGACGGATTCCATGAAGGGCATATAACATAGGCCTTTATGATGGCACAAAATCAGGAACGCAGAGGGAAAAGTTGAAAAGACCCTGAATATCTGTGTTTAATAGTGTTGTAAGCTTCAAGGTGTTGCTATTTGGCAAGATACCTTTTGTTTGGTTTTCAATTTTGCCTCACAATTTGTGTAGGGGGAGGAAATAGAGGCGAATCAGGTCTTTTGGGCTTTGGCTATGTTGGGGCAGGGAAGCTCAAAGACTCACGGTTTATTTGTGTTGGCAGTTTGGGTGCTACTTTGGCAAAGCACTAGCTTGAGCCAGAGCTCTGGCAAATGACATTGTGAAGTGTAAGTTCAGCAACAACTTAAATTTTGCCAATGTATCCATCTTTCTCTCTTTCTTATCACTGCTTCTCTCTCACTCATGTGGCAGACATTGACGAGTGTTCGGATGGCTTTGTGGAGTGTGACAGTAGAGCCACCTGTGTGAACCTGCCGGGCTGGTATCACTGTGAATGCCGCGATGGCTACCATGACAATGGGATGTTTTCAGCCAACGGGGAGTCGTGTGAAGGTAGGAGGAGCTAATTGTGAGTAAGAATTTAAATTAGAGTGTGGCTTACGTTAATTTCTCATCGTATTACGTTTGAGTCTCTCTGATTGGATTACTGGTCAGCTACTTTTTTGGGCAGTTTTCCTGAGGAAATGTGCAGCTATGCCAGTTGCTGTTACAAAACGTCAGAACATAATAGAATAAGTCATAAATGGAGACAGTACAAGGTATAAAAATTAATGTATATAACTTCCAAAAGTTCTGCAATGTTATCATGTGGTTGAACTAGAAGAAGAAAAAAAAAGAATTTCTTAGTGTTTGCCCCCTGAGCTGATCAAGTGACAAAAACCTCTCATGAGTAGATCAGATCCACCTGAGAGTCATCAGAACACATGTTACAATAGAAGAGATAAGACTCAAAAAAATGTTGACCATTTTATAGGTTTTGTAGGCTTCAAAATTGTCAGTGTTGCATTATTGAATTTACTTCAATTTGAATAGTGACCTAGAAATAGTACAGAATCATGAATATTTTTTCTTCATTTTACTTGTTATAACTTTTCTTTGTTTTATTATTGAAAAAAAATCCCATATTCTCAATGTGGTGTTAGACTTTTGACCTCCACTGTACATCCAAATGATCCTAAACTATTCAGCAATTTAATACTAGCGAGCTGCACGTTTTCAGTGTGAATTTCATTTGAGTGTTGCTGCCATCACCAGATTAGCTACTTGTGTGAAAGTTAGAGAGACTTCTCAGGGTTTTTTAATGCAAAGACTTTATTCCCACAATAATCCCAAGACCTGACATTTCTTTAGAGCTTCATATGGTTGCCACCATTGCACATTTTAAGGTGCATAGGGCAGAAAACAACCCGAATGCACATTACAAGCCCTCAAAGATCTATATATGCTATATATGCATGAAAATAGTGTCCATAAACAAATAGAGTAAATCTAATGTAAATATAGTCATTAACTAAATAGTTATGTAATTATTTATGTGTGTATGTTGTTGCTGTTTCACAGACATCGACGAGTGTGAGACGGGGAGGCACAACTGTGCTAACGACACAGTGTGTTTTAACATGGACGGAGGTTATGACTGCCGGTGCCCTCATGGGAAGAACTGCACCGGAGACTGCGTTCACGAAGGGAAGGTGAAGCACAATAGGCAGATTTGGGTGCTAGATGACGATAGGTGCTCCGTCTGCTCCTGCCAGGTGAGCGCAGCTAGCAGTACCCACTTAGGAGACATGTAGTGAATACAGTATAGAAATTAGAAAAGTAGTCTTGGGACACCTTTATTATCATCGCTTGTTTTTTTTTAGAATGATTTTAATTTGTTAATGAATCACATAGTTTCTGCAGTTAAATAAACTTTTGTTGGGTTTTATTGAAAAATATGAATTTATGTGTGTACACCTGTTCAAAGCGTGCATGCTGGTTATGTTTGCTAGCTTTTTTGAGTGATGATCAAAATTAGTTAAAATTGTCCCTACCGAGACATTTTTGGTAGTGTTATGATTGTTTTGTTTTTGTGTGTGGATTATGACTGTTTATTTTAGTTCTGTGACAATGGTGTAAATAAATTGCAGTGAGGTAAAAAAGAATTGGAATTTGATCAGACTTCAAGTAGCCAATACTGATACATTAAAATATCAAATTGAATTGGGACATCCCTAGATGGAAATAATGATCGCACTCATTCGTTCCGTCTCTTTAGACTGGTCTGGTGATGTGTAGGCGGATGGTGTGCGACTGCGAGAACCCGACAGTGGATGTGTCGTGTTGTCCAGAGTGTGACCCTCGCCTCACCTCTCAGTGTCTGCACCAGAATGGCCTTCTAACATACAACAATGGAGACACCTGGGTGGAGAATTGTCAGCAGTGCCAGTGCATGGTGAGTCCTTTATGCTACAACAAAGCCACGTGATTCTGATTATAGACACTAAGCAGTGTTTGGCAGAATTCTTTGAAAACGTAGTGATGGGTGAATACTACAAACAATTTTCTAAATGTGTTCCGTAACATAGTCCATTAGAGTACATAAAAAAGTAACATATTCAGAGTACATTTAGAATAGATATGAATATTCACGTGGAAAAAACTGCTGTTGTAATTTTTATTTAATTCACACTGTTCCTCACTATTACTTGTTGGCACTTTTCTACATGTAATTCATTTTATTAATGTGTAAAATTCACCTATTTAAATGAAGTTACAAAATTCTCAACATTATTTTGGCTCTCATTTAGCAGAGCCCAGTAACACTGAGATTGATAACTGATCATCACATTGATTTATCAGTCTACTCAGGCTTTAGCAGAGCCCAGTAACACTGAGATTGATAACTGATCATCACATTGATTTATCAGTCTACTCAGGCTTTAGCAGAGCTCAGTAACGCTGAGATTAATCACATATCATCACATTGATTTATCAGTCTACTCAGGCTTTAGCACAGCTTAGTAATGTTGATATTAATAACTGGCTTACCACATTAATTTATCAGTCTATTCAGGCTTTAGCATAAATTTCAGTGTTTGTAAAGAAGCCATTTTGAGCTCTTGTTTAGAGTATGTTTTTACATGCTATGTGCTAATTAAAAAAATACATATAGTTAAAAATTATAGTCAAACAAAATGTTAGGAAGGCTCACGAGGTGTAGGCTTTCATGTATTACATAGCCTAAAACACTGCCAAAGTAAACCTGTGTGTATAATGCGACCCTGTTAATATAGTATTAGTAGTAGTAATGTCAACTCATATTTTCTAACAGAAATTGTCTCACGGCTTCTGTTCTTTCCAGGAGCCTTCCTTTCAGTTTTTCACAGAACTGAAAACGTTTCGCACTTCTAGTCTTAGAAGTTGTATTTTCTTCTTCTCATGTTCCAAGTAATCCCAAACACATTCAGTAGTGTCGTTGACTCTGTGATGGTCAGTCTATTGTTCTGGGAACACCAGTAGTAGTCTGTGTTTGATAAATACGTCTTGATCTTCTCAGCAGTGTGGTTGGGGTTGTTATCTTGCTGTAGAACGAATTTCTTCTCAGTCAGATGTTTTCAAGAGGGAGTTGCATGATGTATTAAAATTTGTGCTTATCAGCGTTCATGGTGCCTTTAGTCAAAAAACAAATCACAAACACCAGATGTTTTACATCCCCAGACTTGCACAGAACAGTGGAATATCTCAGACTACGAATATGAGGCTCATCTGTAATAATTAAGTAAGACTAATTAAAAATTGTTTTATGTCAAAAATAAATGAGACTAAATAATGATCCATTTGCACTCGTGTTGTGAGCCCAACACTAAATGCAGAGGAAAAAGCTTAATTTCTGAAGGCTAAGGTGTTTAATGGAAACATTCAGCCTCATTGCTGTTTTATGTGAACAGAGTAAAAGAAGAACCAGCATTTTGCCCCAAAAAAGTGCAGGATTGGATGGTCAGTGTATACAAGAGCTAAAAAAAAGAAATCATTGTATGAATGAATATGTGTTCAGTAAGTGTAAGAGTAAGTCTCTGGTCATACATTAATTTTGGCCCAAGTACTTTTTTCCTGCTCACAGGTAACCAGATATTCGTTCATCAACTCTTGTTGAAACTTGAATATCAAAATTAATCACAATGCACATCCCTATCATAGATAAAACTTGGGAATACCTTATAAAGTGGCCAGTGTATGTTGAATTATGCATTTGTGCATTAGATGATGTTCCAGTGTTGATTACATTGCTACAATCGTAAATCAAGCTACCAAAAACCCAACAGGTTAGCTTTTAGAATGCACCAGGAGTAGGTTCACATAATAGTAATTAATGGAGCATACCCTTTCTTAGGAAATCCTGACCCAAGTGCAGAAATTCCTTTTGGAGGCTAGGTTTGTGTAGAGGCCATAGACGCTCTGATTTTCTCAGATTACCATGGCGAAGCTACTCGCATGCATATTGAGTGCTGCAGTCAAGATTTGGCAACAAATGTAACATGTTCTAGCATTTTAAATCTGTGCAAAAAATGTGAAAATTGTTGTGCTTTGAGGAGGTTCCTGTAAAATGCTCTAGAAACCATGCCATTAGTTATAAAATGTGTGAGGAAGGGCATGGCTGCTGGAGAGAGAGTGTGTACCACAGATCACAGGCTCAGATCTCCTGCAGATTGGGACCGCTCCAGCTCAGCCACCACCTCCTCCAGGGATTCGTTTTTTTTCTCGTTATCCAGGAACCTTTTCCCTTTTCGAGCGGAATTGAATCATAAAGTTCAGCTTACACAAGGCCACTAAATCTCAGCTGTTATATCGATCTGGGCACAGATACAGGTTCTACTCGTGCTTCTACTTTCTCATCTCGCACCACACTTGCTGAGGTTTCAGACCTGTCGGAGCATTACAGCCACCCGCTGTCCTCTCAGCAGGGGTCGGACCAGTATGAAAATTTTATGGCCAATACGACATCAGTTATTCAGGAGCTAAAACATACATGCAGTCTCATCGCATTTTGGTGAAATTTGGCCAACGAAAATGCCATTCAAGTGCCCTGCAGATTTGAAGACTTCTCATTTTTGGAAGCAAGAGTTTGAGGGGGGTGGAGAGAGAGAATCCCTGCTCAGCAGCAGTTCATGGACTTTATTCAGCTAACTCACAGATATAGTATTTCATTTTCATAGGCCAATAGTAGCTAAGGTAATGTTACCAAAATATGAGAAGAGAGGCATGTTTTGTGAGTGGTTAAGTTCCACTGTAAAAAAAAAAAAAAGATTCAGTATTTTAACTTAACATTTTGAGTTTATTGAACTTCTAATGGTAAGTTAACACAACAATAATCTGTTTTACATTCTGTTAACTTGCTAACAAGTTAAAAGATTAAATCATTTTTTACAGTATGGTTTCATTTTAGAAAGTTCAGTTTTCTTTCTGCAGTAGCTTTCAAATCATGGGTAAAAAGGTTTTAATAGGTGTAAAATATCATTTCTAGTGACTAACACAGTCAGCTTCCATTTAGTTCGTGTCTGAAATTGATGTAGAACATACTGATTTCTGTGTAATGTCATAAGACTGTGAGAGCTGAATGAGACAAAGTGGTAATTCTTATGTGTTCTACTTATGGAGGCAGTAGATGATGAAGTTTTTAAAATGGATTTTATTTATAATAGATGTGGGGTCTTAAACTGAGATGTCCTTACACAGATTATGTACACACTGACCTATAGACTTTGCTATGGTAAGCAACAGATTTTTAATAAATAAATACCTAGAAAACAGTGCAGTATTTGGAAATGACTTGTATTTGCATGGATTTTTAACTCAATGAACAAAATAATTCCACAGCAATTACTCCTGTATTTTAGCCTCAGAGTGCACCAGAGCATTATATTAAAATCACTAAACTTTTCTCCCAGGAGCAGTACTGCAGGACCCTGCTACAGGGGATTGTTTTCTGAACTTGTCATCTGTTTCACTGAGTTTTCATGTCTGTAAAAGTTCAGAAAACCAAAAAAGTCTGAAACAATGGAAATCGTTACAATATGAAACAAGTCACAAGCTGTTATTTGTGAGGCCCTATTCTCAGTTCACTCTTACAGCCTGCTTTAGAGGACAGTGTTTTAGCCTTGCACATAAACTGTGTGGCATTAGCTTTAATTTGTACCAAACCTGGTACCGCACTCATGAACATAAGTCATACAGATTTGATTTTGCCTTGTTCATTCCTGGAGACGCAAGACTCGCATCTAGCCTAATGCAACCCATCTCGTGCAATTTATATTTGCATACAGGCACTTTTTCATCAGATAAGCTTTGATTTTGCTTTCTTCCCATCTCGTTCTCTTTCTCATGCTGCGTGATTATGCCTCTCTTCATTACTTTTTTCTCTCCATCTCCACAACTGTGTTTTTCATTATATTACTTTTTTATCATTCCCTCGCAAGCAGAATAAACATGGAACACAGAACTTGAAAGACTAGTGGCGGCGGTGGGGCGAGTGACAGAGAGACAAAGAGGAAAGAGGGGGAGAGGTGCAGGGCGATGTGCACGGCCTACAGTGTCATGAAAAAGGGTTTGTAATGAGCGTGGAATAAAAGAATAAATACACTGCCTCAGAACCAGCAGGAACTAGAAAGAGAAACAGCGAGAGAGAGGGAGAGAGGGATCTCTGCCCTTGCATACATGTTACATCGAGGGATGTGCATGAGTAATCGAGTACTTGCTTTAATCTTCTGGTTGGCTGTATTCTAGTAATGAAATCACAGAGTGTTAATTATGCTGCAATTAAGTGAAATGGTGATTTTATGTTTTAACAGGGTGGTAAAGTGTGACTCTTTTGCTTTTATTTGGGATCATTTGCTATTGTTCAACGGTTAGTTTTGGCGGCACAATCTGATTGGTTGAGAAGTGTTCTAGCCATGCTGTTATCACAAACAACTGGTTGCTAACTAATGACTGCTAACCTTTAGTGCATTTCTACTTACCACATCAGACAACATGAATACATTAGATAACCTCTTTAAGATAATATTTGACCTGCAGTCCATTTGGTCAGTGTCTGAAGAGTATAACAGAGGACCCTGTTGTTGCCTCTCATCAAGTTTTCAGTTGGTAGGTGTGAGGGCGGAGCAAGAGACATTATAAAGGAGGAGACTGGTCACTGGTTGAAATATGAATGGGAAAGCTTGTCACGCTCAACATGGCGCCTGTTTGTGGAGAAACCCCCACCCTTCAGTATAAATAGCCAGTCAGCTTGCAGGTTATGCCGTGAGCAGGGAATGTTAGCGGTGGCTCATCTGGAGGGGCAGCCTCCTTTTATTAAAGTTCTTCCTCATCTGCTTTAACCTGCAGTGACTAAAAGGTTTCCCTTGGCTATTTTTTTAGTAACACATGCTTTCTAATGTACTCCTTTGTGTGCTGATATATTTTCCTTGGTGCTATTGAATGTTTAGTCTGCTAGAACCAGTGATCTGACTTCAAAGTAAGCATATTTTTCTCAATAATTATTCATGAGCAAAGTCAGTATGCACATCCCTACATACAACGAGTGACTTTGAGGCAAGCCTATCACTGGTAGATAGGTCTGCCAGAGAAGCCCTGCAGTGTGCGCTAAAACATGTTACTCTAATGGGAGATAAACCCTAAAGTAGAAAAGAGAAAGCCAACCTGATCCTTCCCATTTCACTCCCCAAAACCAGATATTGTTCGGAATGGTCCATGTCTTTGTCCTTGAGAATCCCATTGCATGTTTGCAAAGGGGAAAGCCGAGAGCAGAAATAATGAGATTTTGCTGGGAAGCATGTAATGAGATTTGTACGAGCTGTGTGTCCCGAGAGTACTATAACACATTAGCTGGAATTAGTACACCACCATAGACACAGAGTCCCATGTGTGGAAAATGTGTACCTCAATGAAAGGACTATAGATTAAAGAGACAAGCATCAGATTTGAAACAGAAACAGATTTTATCTGATACTGTATCTGATACAGAGGCCTCATATTGAATCTCTCTGACCACCACAACACATAACCGGTTTACAGTTCCACAGTCCCAGTGCTGTGTCATATTTTCCATGCAGCATGCTGTCCCAGAGGCATTTTGCCCTCTGACATGTTGCCATATTGGTCACAGAACATGAAGAACTTATGAAAAACGTATCTCATAATATAAACTTAATAATAAGAAGAAACTACTTATATGTAGTAATTATAATAAAAGAATGTCCCATATGTGGGGAAAGAAAGGGGGGAATGTCCCCTTTAAGAATAGTGGTTCATTAATTGTAAACATAAACTACTGAGGACAGAACAATGCTGCTGATCCTTATAGCTAGCCCCTTATGCTAATGCTAGCTATCCAGTGAAAAATTTGAGTGCTTGGGGCAGCAATATACAAACATACCCCACGGGGAAGTTAGCCAAATCACAAACATATAGTCCAAAATCAGCCTTTCAGGGTTTTAGCTGGACACACAGTCTGCTCCAAGAAGAACAAAAATATGATTATGCTCCAAAATAAGAAGCTGACCCATCACTGACCAGTTACTGTCTCTGTAATGGGATCACTTTACTTATTAATTCCAGGGAAACGTAATCTCACAATTCTCATTACTTCTATGTTACTTTCTAAACCCCAAATAAATCTTAAATATCCAATCTTACATCATTTCAAATTCCTCTCACTTTTAGCTGCCCACTGGGTGGGGAAAAAAGGCTACTTAAGTGACTATTTAAACAGAGAATCCAGTATTAACTACTATTTGTTCAATATTCACTTAAATAGCAAATAATGGGGCCACATTGAAAATCCTGTATTTTTTTCATTTAAACCTGGAAAATTCTGGAAAGAATTTTGAAAATTTTAAAACAAATAAAAGTAAAATGACAAGTAAAACGATTACTGACCCAGAACTACAAAAAAAATAATTAGCGTAAACTTACAGTAATTTACAGCAGTTTCTCAAGTTTTTTAAAGTACTCATTCATATGTGCTTTAATGTGCACCCACAGCTGTCTGGACCCTCTGGTTTACTACATTTTGTTGTACAACATGCAAAGAAGTAGACGAACAGGGCTAATTTGTCTAGGTAGCTCCTGGTAGCAAATGCTTGAGCATTCGTGTATGCTGTTTGATAGTTATGAGAACTGTTATGCTATTTTTCACAGCAGCATAGCACTGTATATCAATCACACCATGAACTGAACATCGCATTACAGCAGTTACTGCGCTTATACCAATTGTCACGACTACAAAAGTGGCAATTACCAAAAATCTGTTAATTATAACATTATGGGATGAACTGGAAAACAAAACTGCAAGGAATACTGAGAAAATACTGAGAAAATGCTACAACATTCAGAGACAGGCTGCTCAAGACTGCACAAAGTAGCAGTCACCAGTGCTTTACAAATAACAGCCAATTGCAAAATCCAACATTTTAACTTCTTTGTCAATAAGCTGGACCTGTTTCGCCTCGTCTGCTGTGTTTAAGGAATTCAGTACATCACTGAGGTGTTTCCACTGTAAATTTATAGAAGTTGTTTTGTGCTTGAATAGAGCTTTTCAACTGTGTCTCTCTGTCTCTCAGCGTGGCGAGGTGGACTGCTGGCCCGTGCCGTGCGCGCCTGTGCTGGACTGTGAGTTCCTGGTGGTTCCTGAGGGTGAGTGCTGTCCCCGTTGCGTTTCTGACCCGTGCCAGGCCGACACAGTGCGCAACGACATCACCAAAACCTGCGTGGATGAGTATGGCATCACACGCTTCAGTGGCTCCGCCTGGACCAAACACGGCACAGAGTGCTCGCTCTGCCAGTGCAAGGTAACACACACACTCACAGCTTACAGTCGTATGCCCAAGTTTAGACGCCCCGGTCAAATGACATGTTCTGTTGTTTTTCTAAGTGAAAATAAGTTACACATCCTCTACAGAAAACACACTTCTGCACATTATAATGCACAATTACTGTTTATTTTAAAAAAATATTGGAAAGTAAACTAAAACATCATTTGTGCACTAAAATGTGCAGATGTGTGTTCTCTGTAGAGGATGTGTGAACTTGCACTATATTGCCGAAAGTATTTGCTCGTCTACCTTCACATGCATATGAACTTGAGTGACATCTGATTCTTAATCCGTTTGGTTCTGGCAAGGCTGTCCACAAGGTTTAGGAGTGTGTTTATGGGAATTTTTGACCATTCTTCCAGAAGCACATTTGTGAGGTCAGACACTGATGTTGGACGAGAAGGCCTGGCTCACAGTCTCCACTCTAATTCATCCCAAAGGTGTTCTATTGGGTTGAGGTCAGGACTCTGTGCAGGCCAGTCAAGTTCTTCCACACCAAACTCGCTTATCCATGTCTTTATGGACCTTGCTTTGTGCACTGGTGCGCAGTCATGTTGGAACAGGAAGGGGCCATCCCCAAACTGTTCCCACAAAGTTGAGAGCATGAAATTGTCCAAAATCTCTTGGTCTGCTGAAGCATTAAGAGTTCCTTTCACTGGAACTAAAGGGGCCGAGCCCAACTCCTGAAATACAACCCCACACCATAATCCCCCCTCCACCAAACTTTACACTTGGCACAATGCAGTCAGACAAGTACCGTTCACCTGGCAACCGCCAAACCCAGACTCGTCCATCGGATTGCCAAATGACGACGCTTTACACCACTGCATTCAACGCTTTGCATTGCGCTTGGTGATGTAAGGCTTGGATGCAGCTGCTCAGCCATGGAAACCCATTCCATGAAGCTCTCTACGCTGTTCTTCAGCTAATCTGAAGGCCTGAAGTTTGGAGGTCTGTAGTGATTGACTCTGCAGAAAGTTGGTGACCTCTGCGCACTATGTGCCTCAGCATCCGCTGACCCCGCTCTGTCATTTTACGTGGCCGACCACTTTGTGGCTGAGTTGCTGTCGTTCCCAATCGCTTCCACTTTGTTGTAATTCCACTGACAGTTGACTGTGGAATATTTAGTAGCGAGGAAATTTCACGACTGGACTTGCACAGGTGGCATCCTATCACGGTACCACGCTGGAATTCACTGAGCTCCTGAGAGCGACCCATTCTTTCACTAATGTTTGTAAAAGCAGTCTGCATGCCTAGGTGCTTGGTTTTATACACCTGTGGCCATGGAAGTGATTGGAACACCTGATTTCAATGATTTGGATGAGTGAGTGAATACTTTTGGCAATATAGTGTATTTTCACTTAGAAAATCAACAAAACGTCATTTGACGGGGTGATCAAACATTTGTGTAGCTGTCTTTTACTACTAGATTTAGCAGAAGAATCTTTTATATTCAGATTCGAATATGATTACAAGGGGGATCTTATTGTCCCAGCTTAATACTTTGCGCTGTGATGGGGAAAGGCAAATACTTTCAGAGAAGAAGAACATCATTTTGAGATTTACAGGCAAAGATTAAGTGTAGGTCTAGAGCAGTGTTGGCATAATATAATTATACACAACCTGACAGGCAAAAGCCTTTTTTATTGTCAATTTATTTACTCTGTTTTATCTAATGCCATGTTTTGAAGGCAGTGGTCCTGGCAGTAATTCAGTAACATTATTTTCATCATGTGAACATGATCCTGAGCAAGAAAACTACATGATTTCACACAGTTTTCGGTTTGTATCACCAACATATAGTGAGAGAAACAGTGGCTGCATGTTCCAACCAATGAGTGTATACATCGACTGGCCAGTTCATTAAGTGGATCAGACACAGCAGTGCTGCTGGAGTTTTTAAACACCTCAGTGTCACTGCTGGACTGAGAATAGTCCACCAACCAAAAATATCCAGACAACAGCATTCTGTGACCACTGATGAAGCACTAGAGGATGACCAACACAAACCATGCAGCAGCAGATGAGCTACTCTGACTTTACATCTACAAGGTGGACCAGCGAGGTAACAGTGTCTAATCGAGTGGACAGTGAGCGGACACAGTGTTTAAAAACTCGAGCAGCACTGCTGTGTCTGAACCACTCGTACCAGCACAACACACACTACCACACCACCATGTCAGCGTCACTGCAGTGCTGAGAATGATCCACCACCCAAATAGTACCTGCTCTGTGAGGGTCCTGACCGTTGAATAACAGGGTGAAAGGGGGCTAACAAAGTATGCAGACAAACAGATGGACCGCAGTGTGTAATTGTAGAACTACCAGTCCACCTCTACTGTGGTAAGTGGAGCTGATATATAGACACATTTATACAAGGAAGTGTATTTAATGGAAGGGCCAGTAGGTGTAGATCATATATATCAAATATACAGTTAGTGGTTCAAGTCCTCTGCAAGGAGTACAGTCTTCTATTCTCAATCCTGGAAAGTTTCAAAATGATTTTGACCCACGTCTGGAAAAGCAGCTATGCGGGCCCGCAGCAGATGAAGCTTTGTGCATAGAGAAAAGCTAAGGCTGAACTGAAGCAGTGAAGGCCACAGTTAAGAAGCTGCTTTAAAATGGAGCAGAGGTCTCCAGAGTCAGAAAAGAAGAATTCCTCTGCCTATTGAGACACAAGCTGAATGGTTAGCCAAGGACACCAGTATCAGCTCCGCTGAAAAAGGAATCAGCAGAGAGACTGAATTGTGCAGGCTTTCTTACAATCACACACACATGCATAGAAAAACAGATACAGAAATGTTGCCTAGGTCAGGAGAGTGTGTTAATTAAGGTTGGGGTCAGTTTTCTATACTAACATTTTTCGGTTTCGTCTCTCCCCTTTTTCTTTCTCTTTCACTCTTTTTCTCTCTCTACAGAATGGTCATGTCTGTTGCTCTGTGGATCCTCTGTGCCTCTAGTGCCATCCAAAAGGCAACTCTCTCTGTTACAGCTCTTTTCTCTTTCTCTCTCTCTTTTCTTGCACTCTCACTGCTCCTTGCTCTCTCTCTCTGTCTTAATATCTCCTCTTATCTTGGTGTACAGTGTCATTTTTCATCATTTTTTTTTTTTCATTAATTTCATTTGTTTTGTTTTTTTTTGTTTTGTTTTTTTTTGTTGTTTTTTACTGATGTACCATAATGGAACACACATGACGCAGCTGTTGCTCAGCAGTGGATCGCATATGTCAGACTTCTCAGTCTAAGTAGGCAGACCTAGGAACAGCTTTTGCTTGTGATACTCTAACAAATCTAATTACTCAGACTAAAAGAAAGTTTCTTGGCATTCTTACTCTGAGATGCTTGATGCGTGTGTATCCCAGGCAGGAAGGCTTAATGGGACATTCCACTGATTTTTAACATTTTTACATGGTCAAATGGTTGAGATTTAGAGTAGTTTGATGTGAAATGGTTTATTATAGAGAAATGAACAGTCAAATTTGTTTACTATGGTAATGACAGGAACCAGGAGTCACAATGTCTATAACACAAATATAGCAATTTTTTTTTTACTGTCCAAAACCACCAGCGAACCTACACGTGGCTACTGAATTTTTATATGTATTGTTGATGGTGGTAAAATAGTGTTAAGTTTAAAAAGATAAGTTTTCTTTGGAAACTATTTTGCCTTGCCGCGCACCCTGTAAGTACCTCTCCTCCATTAATCAATTTAAAAAAATAGATTTCAGGCCAAAACTTTATCTCAGAACTATCCTAATACAGTGTTTTAAGCATCACACAATGTATTCATAACCATTACATTTAGCAACTTTCTTTGAGGGAGCTTTTAGTGGCATTAAATACTTCAGATGTCTGGTTCCTATCACCACCACTGTGAACTATTCTGACTCTGTATGTTTCTCTAGAACAGCTCATTTCACATTAACCCTCTCTGAATGACTTTGGATTTAATTATGAAGAAATTTCAGAGTCCCATGCAGTCAGTCCCACTGTAAATGAACCACATACATACCTCCATGGGCATGATTGTATCCAGTGTTGACTATTTTGCAGTATTGCAGATCGTTCTGTTCCAGAGAAAAGAAAGACCTTTGGTGTTTGGCTAGTTTACATTGTTTGAGTTTTCACGTCTTTTCAGAAATCTGTCTATACTTTGATGTTTTATGCTGTACATTTTTTTTGTTAAATTGATGTTTAATTTATTCAGTGGCTTGGTGTCGTGTGATGGTGAAATAAAGATTTCCATTAAAATTCTAATTCTGTTTCCTTTTGTTTTTGGCCAGAGAAGTTATTCTGTGCTTTCAAAGTAACTGCTTTTAATTTGTGTTGATTATTCAAATCCTTTGAAGATATACTCTGCTATTACTACTTCTATTTTTTTGCATTTTCTGCCAATGTTAGTCACTGCCAGTTCTCACTCACTGGGGGCCTCCGTTACAGCTCTATATCTTCCAACCTGGCAGAGCGATGGGTAACACGTGCTTCCTCCTTGACGTGTGTAGGCAGTCGCTGCATCTTCCAGAGCCTCCGCTCACGCATCAACGTAGGACAGCTGAACCTGCACTAACTGCTCAGTTCTGTATATGTGATCTAACAGATGCCCAACATGGTCTACCGTCATTTGTGCCACTCTGACAGGGAGAGAGAACCAAGCCATCCTACGGTGAAAAAAGAAAATGCATTAAATTTACTTGATTCAGATGTGTGCCTCATTTTCACGTAAAATATATTACATCAACACAGTAGCTGCTCAAAGTAAGTAAATCGAAAGGCAAAATTGTGTCCATGTACATGTACTGTTCAAACATCAGAGAACCACCCTTTATTTATTTAATTCCCAGTCAAGATGGTCACTAAATACAAGTTATTTATTTTACAACCTCAGGAAGAACAGCAGAAAACATGATCCCTTCAATCAAAAACAAATCACCAACTGCAGACGTTGATGTACTGATGTACTTGCACTGATCCTCCATCATGCTTGATTGAAGGTTGTAGATGGTTTGAAGAGTCTTATGTAACGTCCAAAGATCTCAACTTCAGACTCATTAGTCCCTAAAACTTTACTCCACATCTCAGATGTTCAGTTTTGATGTTCTAGTGCATTTTTCTTCCTTTTGTTTGTCTATGTCCTTTTCTCAGCAGTACCTTCTTGACAGCTACACATCCATTGTCTTCTCACTTGTGGACTCCTGGCTATGAGTGGTTGTGACATCACTGGGGTTCAAAACAGTTCCATTGGCTCATCTTGACCACTCGTGCTTTCTCAGATGTCCTTTTCCAATAAAAAAAAAAAATCAAAAAAATGTTGTTTTCAGTCCAATTATTTGAACAACATGCACCAATTTATTGTTGCTCTCATATTAACACTCTCTCATTTCAAGTGGGGTGCCAGCTGCTGGTCTTTAATTTGTATTACCATTTCATGACAGATGGTCAGTAGAAATGGGCAAAAATGACTTAGACTAAAATCTTGTTACATGAACACACATTAAAATTTAAAGTTATTTCCTTCTTCCTTTTGGAAATATGAGGTTTTGTTACAATTCTGAGGATATGCTGTTTTTTCTTTGTGGAAAATAAAGGTTTATTATGTCCAGTGCTGAGCATGTATTAATGCAGAATGAAGATTAGTAACAGTGATGATTAAATAAGTAATGAGACATAATAATCAAGAGAGAGGATCCATTAAACACATTGCCATGATCAACACCATTCCCAGCACAATGTTTTCTGCTAAAGTTTTTCTGCTGTCTTTGATGCCCTCTAGTTCTCTGCGGAGGTCAGTTTATCTCTGAGCCAAACTATCTTCTATCAGCCTGCTGTCTGTCGCAATCTTAAACCTCCTCCATACACACATATAGAGTCTAATCTGTGGTGCTACCATGCGCCACTTCACAGCAGTGCTATTGTTGGTCACTTCATTTACTTAGTAAATTGCTTCGGAACAGTTTTACGGGTGCTAAATGGTTGTTGCTGGCCTTGACTGTCCAGTAGATTGACTCAGCCTATTTCTCTCACGTGTGCTCTTTACCTTCTGTTTTTATCCAAGCACATTCCTCTACAGTAGTAGCCTAGAGTCAGGGAGAAGCAAACCAGCTTTCAGATCATTGACCGTGCAGGCTTGACCTCACAAACTGACATACACAGTTCCTTTGTGTGTGTGCGTGCATTTTTAGGGCTTAAAATTAGTTTTAAATACAGATAGTTGTGTGTAGTCACTGTAGATATAACTTTGTATCTCAGAAATGGTGAATTTATAGAAAAAGCAAAGAAAAAAATGTATGTAACCAGAATCTATAGGATATTGCACCATTTCTATTGGCCCATTCATCGTGAAATGTTCTCACAGTGTAACAAGCAGCTGGTGTTTTCAAATTGTGTAAAAAAGGGGAAAAAATGAAGTTATGAGAAGTGTCACAATTATTGACACCCCCACATTTAGTACTTTCTGTACAACCTCCTTTTGCCAACATAACAGCAGGGAGTCTTCTATAATATTTGATGAGATTGGAGAACACAGAGCAAGAAATCTGAGACCTCAATACACAATCTCTGCAGATCCTCCAGGGTTCTAGCTCCTCTGTTCTGTACTCTCCTCTTTAGCTTACCCCACATGATTTTAATGGGGATTAGGTCAGCAAAGTGGGATGGCCATGTCAGAAACTTGAAAATGTGGTCATTGAACCATTCTTGTATAGATTTGTATGTATACCTGATTTTGGATCATTGTTCTGCTAGAAGATCAGAACACGACCCAGTTTGAACTTTTTGGCAAAGGCAGCCTCATTTTCATTTAATATCTCCTGGTTTTTCATGGAATCCTTAAGGGCATATATCCTACCAAGGTTTACAGGGCTTTCTGAGGATAAACAGCCACAAAAAATCACAGATTCCTCACCATTTTTAACAGTGGGGATGAGGTGCTTTACTGTAAAGCCATCCCATTGCCAAAATGCTCAGTTTTTGTCTCATTTGACCATAGAACCTGTTTCCAGTAAAGGATCCAATAGTGCCTAGCAAACTTAAGTTACTTACTTTTGTGGTTGGATAAAAGAAAAGACTTTAATCTGGCGCACCTTTCAAATAGTTTGTTGGCATGGAGGTGCTGTCTGATTGTATTCTGGAGACCCAAAAATGCTGTTATCTTCCAAAAGTCTCCAACCATGAACCTTGGAGAACTGTTTGCGTCAGTAATCATCCTCCTCTCTGTGCGTAGGGTGAAATACTCTAGCATCCTCTTCCAGACTGGTTGACCACAGCTACAGGTGGTTTTAAACTTTTTAATTATTGCCCTAACAGTGTAATATGGGCATTTTCAAGCGAATGGTGTTTTATAGCCATCACCTGATTTATGAAGGTCAGGACACATCTCTTTTCATTTTTGTTTCCTCTAATCTTCCCCATGTTTATGAATGATTAAGGCTGTTTGGCATCTGTGTCACCTCATATTTAAACCCCAGTGAAAAAGGCCATAGATAGCCACATAAGAGGTCCTGACCCCACTGATGCTGCTGCTTCTGCTGCATGAACTGAACTATTCAAATTAATTGTTTCCTTCACGTTTTACCCTGTTTTTGTACTGTAATACTTTATACTAACAATGTTTACTATCCGGTGTCGACCAGAGGAGGATGGGTTCCCCTTCTGAGTCCTGGTTCCTCTCAAGGTTTCTTCCTGTTTCTCTTAGGGAGTTTTTCCTTGCCACTGTCGCCACTGGCTTGCTCATGGGGGCTCGGACCCGGACTTCTTTTTGTAATGCTCATTTCCTTGTAAAGCTGCTTTGTGACAACACCTGTTGTAAAAAGCGCTATATAAATAAACTTTACTTACTTACTTACTTACACTCAGAAATAGAAATAGAAATAGGAACGTGCTTCAGTTACATTTTGTTCACAAGAATTTCTATGGGTGCCAATAATGGTGACACGTGGGTTTGCTCATTTTTTGTATGATGGTTTTTGTAAACAATGCTTTCCATTGCTTGGATTTATGTGAATTCCCCTTAGTTGCTCTAATTCACTATATTTGCTCAGTATATTGTATCGCAAGTAGTTGTATTTATAAAGCCGTGTTTCCACTACATGGCACCGGCTCGACTCGATTTGACTTCACTTGCCTTTTTTGGTTTTCCAATAGGCAAATTTGGGACCTGGTACTGGGTACCATTTTTTTATTTTTTGTATCACCTCCATCGTGGTTCCAGACGAGCTAAACTGATTGGTCGGAAAGAATCACTACGCGAATATGCTAATATTAGCTACTAGGTTGCCATAGCCTCTTGCGATGCCTTTGAGCAACCAGAATCATCTTGTCATCTGAACTCTGATGTAGTATTTCTTTAACTCTCTGTTTGCTTCAAGGTCTTTTTTCTTACTGCCTTTTCTGAACAATATTTGTCTTGTTGATGTCATGGCAGTTTTATCCAGCATCGCTATGACGACCATCTACGTTGAGGGGGCTGCATCTGAAGTGGAAAGCAAAGTACTGGTACCAAAGAGTTGAATAAAGTCTAGCCATACTATGCAGTGGAAAAGCAGCTGAAATGACAGCTCAAATAAGCTCATGCGCTGAACGTCCATGCACTGTTTCAGTCAAAATGACAAATCAGGCTTTACACTATGCAGTGAATAGATGGCTAGGTGGTTTGCTTTTGTCTGTAACTTGTTTAAAGTGAAATTCTTTATTGCATCAGCGTTTGCTGTAGCCAAGGGCTCATTATTTCTCTCCCTTTGTCCTTCCCTGGCCGAGTAAATATCCTTTAATCATTTTGCCCTTTTCAACACAGTATGGAGTCTTGCTGAAGTGGTGAATCAGGTTCCTGCCAAACCCTGGCACTTAGTCCTTCCCCCAGTGACGCTAGAGCTCTTGGCACCGTATCTGTCTGCTCGTCTAGGCCGGGGACAGGAAACAGGCCTGGCGCCTGTCCAAGACTTCACCGGAAAGTGAATCCTGGACGAAAGTGGCCTATTTCAAATGATGGTGAAAGGGGGGAGAGTGGAATGGGGAGGTGGAGTGGAGAGGGGAGGAGATAAAAGGAGAGGAGAAGAGATGAGAGGGGGAAATGACAGAGGTCCATGTGGAGTGGACATCCTGCTGACTCCTAAGCACCCCCGGAACAGGGAGTGCCACTCTTCAGCACTAAGGAGAGCTCCTCTCACTGACTCTCTTACATCACGTGTTTTGGAGGAAGCATACTCAGAAAAGTCTAGTAATTATGAGGATCTATGCTGTAGATGACAGACTAAACAAAAGAT